AGCTACTTATTTACGGTATTATGCCAAATAAACCTGAAAGAAATTTTTATAGACAACTTTGACGACAATGATCAAAATAGACAAGCAGACTTTTACCCAAATATTTGTATGACACTTGTACTTGTATGACACTTCACATGATAAGCAGGAAGATGGTTATAGAGACTGAAAGAGTAGTTTGAAAAACATTTAAGACAAAAAAAAATACAGGAACATTTTTTTCGTATTACTCAGGCAGATTTTGCAAGTATACATGAAGACCATTGTTGAGACTACTTAGGTTAGAACTTAAAAAAAAACAACCAACAAAAATAGTGGTTTCGGACAGTATTGAAATAATCAAAAGAGAGTTGGGTTGTTTTAAATTTCTCGCAAAGCTACACGAAGACTATCTGAGATAGCCATCTCTAATTTAGTAGTGATAGACTAGAGAGAAGGCAGCTAGTCAACACCAACCACCGCTAACTCTTAGACTACCAACAACTAATAGGATTGATCATCACATTATAACGCCCCCTCCACTGAAAAGGCAAGCATGTTTGATGTGATGGGGATTCGAACCCTCGACCCACAGATTGCGAGTCGAGCGCCCTAACCACTAGGCCATGCCAGGCCTTACAAATAAGAGAGAGGAGAACAATTTTGAGACTGTTTAGGGAACACTTTACGGGAAAGACAGGAATAATATTTTTTAATCTGCTTAAGAGAGGTTTTGTAATAAAAGCCAGGACGGCTATTCTAAGGTTACTTAGGTAATACTGAACAAATGAGCCAGAGTGACCAATTTTAAGACATCTTAAATGACTTGTACAAAAGAGCCAGATCGGCTGATTTTTAGACTATAAATAACCTGCTGAGATGAACGAAAATGACTAATTTTAAGGTCATTTAGGTGACTTGTAAAAAACAGCAAAAACACAGAAAATATAACTTCCAGAACATTCAAGTTACAATATAAAAACAAACAAAAAAGGTAAGGCTATCTGCGCTAACCATTCCTAATTTTGAACTATTTGACTAGAGAGAAGACAGCTAGTTAACAGCGGTCACCGCCAGCTCTTGGACTACTGTAGTTGAATAGTGGAATTTGACAGCCGCTCTTATAACGCCCTATGACTCCACAGTGCGTATATATTAACTGTCTGGCATATTAATCACTGGGTCATGCCCGGAGCGAACTATTTTCAAAACTACTCACGAAACGCTGTACAAAACAAATAGAAAAGATTAAACATATATGTATGTATACATATATATTATTTAGGTGAAACTATAGAAAATAGACAGGAAGACTCAGAGATTTTATGTCGCATTTAATAATATAGACAGGAAGACGATTTTATAGACCTTTTAGGAGATAATGTGCACAGTCGATAACAATATTGTTTGACAGATCCTACTTTAATGGCATTGTACAAAATGACAGGGAAGATAAATTCTTAGACATCTTGAGCGATTGTGTTTAAAAGGGAGAGAGGATTGATTTTAGGAACGACTTAAAAGGTATTACGTTTGAGAAATTACTTATATGGCATTTCAAAAATTGATAGGTAGATTAGTTGCCCCCCAGGGGCACAGCGGTATGTCTGCGGACTTACAACGCTAGAAACTGGGTTTCGATACCCGTGGTGGGCAGAGCACATGTAGCCCATTGTGTAGCTTTGTGCATAAATTAAAACAAATAAACAAGATTAGTTAAGACACTACATAAATGGCAGTGAACAAAAGAGGTTTATGAAAGCGACGAACACGTTTGGTATTTAAAAAAAAATTAAAACATTTTATATGCTAAAAATAATTGTGTTAACTTTCATTTTTACATAAATTGACTATCCCAGGAGATAAAGGCACATTATTTCTTGTATTGACCCGGCATGGCCAGGTGGTTAGGGCGTTCAACTCGCAATCTGGGGGTCATTGGTTCGAATCCCGTCACATCAAACATGCTCGCCCTTTCAGA